GTCAGCTGATTTCATGGGTTCTAGTGTTATTTAGGACGCTGGAGTGTCTTGTGCAGATGAGGTCATTGTAGGCAGCCTATTTGTTGATTCATAAATGTCAAGCATTTATTAATTATATCAATTTATGTCTTTATTTGTAGATAATTTCATTACATTGTAGGTAATGTTCACTTATGTTATAAAAAGTGAATAGTGATGATCTCCTGAAAGTGTGAGCAGGTGTTGAAGTTCTGCTCATTTCTTCTACCAGAGGAAGAACCAGCTGAAAGAAGCTTACTGTAACAACCTGTGGGACGGAGCCAGGAAGACCTTAGCTACTCTGTGGGACGGACATGGAGCCATCTGGCATGGTAGGACACCAAGGTCCTTCATTACGTTGACACAATGCTCTACATCCACTGCTATCAGTAACAGCCTCCATTTGGTTAAAGCCAGCACTGTACATGTGTGTAAGTTCTTAGTTGTGCTTGAAAAGTTTGTTTGGTTTGTTGGGTTTGTCACCCCTCATCCAACAGGCGAGGTCAATCCTAACAGCTGATGGAGAGCTTCGTGTAGCCTCTCGTGGACATCAAACTGCAGGTTTCGCTTTCTGTCCTCGTGAATCCCGAGAACAAAACACCCAAACACAAGCTAAACAATGTAGTGTATGCTCTGTGTAGAAGCGACAGCAAACAACCACTCTGCAAATGTTCAGCCATCGTAACAGGACAAGCATAGCTGCATACATACAGTCTGTTCAGATTACCAGTGTTTGAATTATGGACACAGCAGTTGACTCAACATCGCTGTGAGACGCTGTGAACAACCGTTGTTGAGGCCACATGGTGGCTTTGCAGATGATGCAGTCTTGAGATCCCTTCCTGTCCACACCTTGGCTCATATGACCTCAATAACATGATAGCAGGGTGGGGCATAATAGACCACACCCTGGTCGATACCTTGGCTCACGCAATGACTCGTGTGAATAATAGTGGGTCACCAACCCTCACCTGAGACTCTCCATCAGCTGTTTTAGGACTGAAGAATCGCCTTGCAGTGGTGAAACCTCTCCACCAATCAAAAAGTCTTTTTTTCCCAAACTCTGAAGATGACAATAAAGTGTTTAATGCAGCACCATCGATGCATAATTGATTTATCCCTAATGTTATCTGGCCTGTGTACTAGGGTATGAGATTCACGGTATGGAAAAGATTCCTGATGAAGGACCAGCTCTGATCGTGTACTATCACGGAGCCATTCCAGTCGACTACTACTACTTCCTCGCTCACGTTATCATTCAGAAGGGACGGACCTGCCACTCCGTAGCCGACCATTTCCTCTTTAAGATCCCAGGTACTGTGCACACCGACCCATGTGCAAACGTTAGCACGGAGCACACACTAAACACAGAATTACTGTGTAATCATTATTCTCCAGATGCTCTTGAACCATGAAGCCACTTGTAGGATATTCACTCAGTTTTTAGCTGAAAACAAACAAACAACCCAAATCATATCATTTTCATTCAACATACAAAGAAAGAAATTATGTTAGCTATCACCAGAATCTTTGCAGATCGAGAAGAAGAAGAAATGATGGAGATAAAATTTGTGTTCTTGATCAAAACTTCCAACCGAGGTCTGAAGCTGGAGAAGATACCGGTGTTACGTAAATAACAACCTGTACTAAAGAAGTCAACACCGAGCACATGATTATTAGTCACTCGCCCTTACATGACATGCATTGAAGGTGTGTTGGCCCACACAGAACCACAGGTGGAAATGTGATGTTTGCATCGCTGGACTAGGTGGTCCTTTGTGATTGGCTGATGTGCAACACAGGAGCTCCACAGACAGAGACTAGAGACGGCACGATACCACTTTTTTATGTCC